GGGCTTGGGCGTGGGTGCGTGGTGTGTGGTGTGTGGTGTGTGGTTGGGCTTCTAATCTTTTTGGGCCAAAAACATTTGAATTTTATTTTATTTTTTATTAAAATAAAATTCAGAATTCAATAAACTGGTTTGGATTTATTGTTTATCCAAACAGGGCCCTTCCCGTTTTTGCTATCTGTTTGAATTGTTGAATCTGTTTGAATTCAAAACCTAACAGGTTTCATACCTGTTCAATTCAAAACAAAGAGTCACCTTCACATCTATAAATAGGACCACCCTCATTTGGATTTTGTAACTCTAATTTTCGTTCTTCATAATTCTGCAAACTTCCTCTTCATTTTGCTGCATTATTTTCTTGTCAGAGAGAGTATAAACACTTAGTGTGTTCGTTAGGCAAACAATTTGTAGTGCTGCTATTGTTTGTAGTAGATCATTTTATCCTGGGAGATAGACGTCCAAATTCTGAAAGCACCGTGGAGAGGACGAATCTGTCTTAAGGACACAGTGTCAAACACTGGACTTGATCAGAAAATAATTCGAAGAAATTAAATCAAGTAAGTTATTTAATTTATTTTCAGTGTTGTTTTTATTTATTTAAATCAGATTTTAATTTTGTTTTTGTAACAAAATAAAATCTGCTTTTATTTATTTATTTTTATTTCGAGTTTGATTTTTGTAATCAAACAAATTCTCTCATTTTCTTTATTTCTTTATATTCTTGTTGTTGTTTTGTACACAACAGATTTTAATCTATTTGAATACAGTGAAGATTGTCTAACAATTTTAAGACAAATTTGTTTTCTTTAATAAGTCTTCATTGTATTTATAATTTCATTTTATAAACTTGTTTTATTTGAATCCAAGAAAATAATTTTTTGATTTTTGTAACAAGAAAATTATTGTGTTGTGTTTTATTTTTCTAGTTTTAGTAACTAGAAAAGTAAATCATTTGGTGTTATAACTTATTTTTTGGTTTTATTAACTAGAAAATTAATTTGTGTTTTGGTTTTGATTTTTTCTAATTTTTGTAATAAGATATTAGGGCTTTTGAAAGTGGTACTCCAAATCCAATTGTTACAACGACTCCGGTCCATACCCAAAATCATGTTCAAGTTCCAATGAGTCATGGAGAACAGCTGGAAAAATTTAATGTCACCGAGTTTAAGAGATGGCAGCAGAAAATGTTGTTCTATCTCACAACTCTTAATCTTACTCGGTTTCTCCATGAAGAGTCTCCAGTACTAAAAGAGGGTGAAAGTAATCGGCAATGTGTTGCTACTATGGATGCCTTGAAACATTCTGATTTTCTTTGCAGAAATTACATCCTCAATGGCCTAGACAACATGTTGTATAATGTTTATAGTCCTCTAAAAACAATGAAAGAATTGTGGGATTCTTTGGAGAAAAAATACAAGACAGAGGATGCCAGCACAAAGAAATTTGTTGTTGGTAAATTTCTGGATTTTGTTATGCTAGACTCCCAAACGGTAATTTCTCAAGTTCAAAG